ACCAGCGGGGATGCTCCGGGAGCTGGCAGGGCTGGGAGTGGGGAGCAGAGACCAGGGTCCTGCGCAAGGTGCTCAGACCCACAGCCACGGGTGAGGGTCTTGTGTCGGGAGAGCAGCCACCCGCATCCCCACTCCTAGGAAGCCCCATCCCACGGTGCTGCAGGTCCTGGGTGAGCAGAGAGGCTCTTTCCTGATGGTGCTCCAAGCCCAGCCCCCTCGATCCCAGCCTCTTCCCTGGAATGCAGAGCCCCCCTGGGCTGAGCCCCCAGACAAAGTGTTCACTGTACGAGCTGCACGTTAACCACTTCCCAGCCACCCTCCTGCTGCAGCCTCTGCTCCCCGGCACCCACTCAGATCCCTATGCCCCTGCCCCTAAACAGGCATTTAATCCCCTTCTCCTTACCCAGAGGGCACCCACCGGATGCTGCGATGCCCTCGCTGTGCCAGGCACGGTTATGGTGGGAGTCACAGAGCCCACAGTCCCCAGCCCCACATTCCCACTTGCTCCGGGCTGCTGGAGCGGGACAGGGACCCACGGCTCAGACATCCCACTGGGACTGCACCGAGCACTGTGCTATGGGGTGTCCCAGGGGAAGGTGCTCCCCTTTCCTGCCACCTGCGATGCTGCAGGCAGGCAGGCAGGCACGGAGCCCAGCGGTCCAGCCCGGCTCCCACGGCCACCCACCCGTGCCCAGCGAGGCCAAAACACGGCGGGAAGGAAGGGAAAAATCTGCAAGTCTGTTTCCTAAAGGCTCTGGGAAAAAATGCTGCGTTACCGGGGCACAGCCAAAACCAACAGGCCTTGGCAGCCCCACGCAGCCCCGGGCCAGGCAGCCCAGACAGCTCCTGCAGGATGTGGGATGAGGACAGACAGGCAGGGCAGGGGGTCTCCGCAGCAGACCCCATGCCGAGCACTCGTGGGGATGTCTTGTCCCTGGAGAGGGGCCCATCCACAAAGGGCATTCCTCTCTATGGGACACCAGCAGAGCTGCTGTGGACCAGCTACACGAGGAGGGAATGGAGCTGGGATGTGGCCATCGAGGTGGACAGGGACAGACACCGCTCCAGACCCTTCTGCCCCTTGGGGAGCTCTGGGTGACCCCGCATGGGCACACAGGACCAGAACAGCCCATGGACTATCCCATGGCAGGATGCTGCTCCCTAGCTCCAGAGGACGTGGTCCTGAGCACAGCTCACACGATGGGAAATGGGGATGTGGCGGTACCCAGACCCACCGGACCAGCTCCACGGGCCTGGTCTCCACACTCAGCCCACACAGGAGCAGCTCTGTTCCCACTGTCAAAGCCACAGCGTGACCTGCTCCAGCCCCAGCCCCTGCCTGACCGCAGGGGTTGCACAATCACCAGCAAGAGGGTCCTGGGGCAGACACACAGAGGCAGCTTCTTTGCCCTGGCCCTGCCTGCATCCCACTGCCCTGTCCGGCCATAGGAAGGACACAGCCCTTGGCAAAGCCCAGCCTGACCTGCCTGGGAGGGAAGCAGGTGCCCCGAGGCCTCTTTCCTGTTTCCTCCCAGCAGAGCTGTGGACAACATCCCTGGGAAAGGGTCACCGTGCAGCAGGAGCCTCCCAAACAGCTGGGACCTGTCCCAGGGACCACGGGTGCTGCCCTGACGTCCAGGGGCACTCTGCAGCCGGGGCACAGAGGGTGACAGGTCCCTGGGAAGCACCTGGCCCCTGCAGCAGCCATGGCACAGCTGTGCCCATGCTGGGTAAGGGTGGCACGGATGTGACCCACTGGTACCCAGCTGTGGGAGCTCATGCAGCTCAGCACCACTGGGACATGCTCCCTGTCTGCCCACCCCAGGCTGCCCCATCCCATCCTGCCACAGGGTCCCTGCTAAGCCCCCAAGCCTCATAGCCCCGACTCTTGCCAAGTGAGTGGAGCGCGGCCTGGGGCACACAGGGGGTGCCACCAGGCTTGCAAGGGGCAGGGACCCCCCGGCACCCACCCCTCGCTCCGCTGCCGCCCGGGGCCGGCCTTACCTGGGGGCTGGAGGCTCTCCTGGATGGCCTCGACGTCGGCCAGGTCGGTGCAGATGCCCTGGCCGTGCATGAGGGTGTGCAGGGGCCGCGGCACTCCGCGGGGGGGGTAGCAGCGCAGCCCGGCGCCGCAGCGGGCGGTGTAGACCCCGCAGGCGGTGCCGCGGCCGAGGGCGCAGGTCGCGCAGCACCCGCAGCCCGGCTCCCGCACCAGCTCCGCGCAGCCCTGCGGTGCCTTGCAGCGCGCCAGCCGCTCCTCCGAGCACGGCGGGCACTGGATCGCCTCCTCGCCGCCGCCCAGCCCCGCCGCCGCCGCCAGCAGTAGCAGCAGCACCGGTAGCACCGGTGGCACCGGCGGTAGCAGCGGCAGCGGCGGCAGCGCGCACCCGGCGGCCCCGCGCATGGCGGCCCCGCGCCCGCGCTCCGGCCCGCGGCTGGCGGCGCTGGGCTGGCGGCGGAGGCTTTATGCGGCCCCTGGCCACACCTCCCGCCGCCGGCACCGGGGCCACCGGCGGGGCCGCCCTCGCTGACACCGGGAAGCCACCGGGGAGAGCCGATCCCTGCCGACGGCAGCAGCGGGGAGGGCGGCGGCGCCAGCACCGGTACCGCCGGGGGGACAGCTCCGGCTCCGCGCAGCGCGGAGACCCCCGGCCCTGCGCCCCCCTCCCCGCCGCCCCCTGCAACCGCCCCGACACCCGCCCGGGCCCGAGAGCAGCGGGGATGAACGGGGAGGGGAACCGCAGAGACCGCCCGGGGCTGCTTCGCGGGGGCTGCGGCCGAGACCTCCCTTGTGGGGCAGCCCCGGGTGGGCTCCGGGCCGCGGGCACGGGGGTCCCGCCGGCACCGGCATCACTCTGGGGGCAGCTCAGCCCCGTCTGCCCCCGCGGAGGCCCCGCCGGCTTCCCCCGCACCCGGCCCCGTACCCCGCGGCTCCCCGCGCCCCGCACGGCCCCGGGATCAGTTGAAAGCTGCCGGCACCTAGCGGCTATTCGGGAAAACCGGCAGGAGGAAGGGGGGGACCCAGGAATCCCTCCCCGCGGGCCGGTACCCGCAGTGCCCTGCCCGGGGGGACCCGCCTGGGTGCGGTAGCGGGGTTCTGCGGGTGGGATGGGCTCCGGTACAAGCGCAGCCTGGCTGCCCTGTGTGAATGGCCATGGCACCCGCGCAGGCTCTGCACAAGCTGTGCCCAACACACCCGGCTCGCTGCGGGGGTGCAAGGACACCGAGAGCCCTTCTCCTCATCCCAGGGACAGGATGAGCCGTGAGCAAGGGCAAAGCAGGGACGCGTTGAACTCATGCCATGGGATGAGGAGCAGCTGCACACTGCAGGGAGCTTTGTCCTGCAGACTCAGGGACGCACCGGCTCAGCAGCACTCGGGTGATGCCCGTGTCACCACACTGGCCCTGGACAATGCCAGCTAAAACGCCACCCTATGCCACACAAAGTAATGAAATGATCACGGCCACCCCAGCCATCCCCACCAACAGCACCAGTGGGGAGATGGTGCATCCTGTCAGGAAGATGGCCTTCACCATATGGGACAAGGGAGCCAGCCCAGCCCAGCTGTGGGGCAAGCACAATGCGCAGGGAACAACCACATCCCACCGAGGACCTGGCTGAGTAGCAGGTTTGGGGGGGCTTGTGACCGTGCCCTGCACCACATACATGGTGATTAACAGTCATTACATACCCAGACACTGGGTCTTGCTGCATGCCCCTGGTGTGGGGCTCGGTGTAGTGAGTGGGATGAGAGGATTAGGGCTCAGGCTGAGAACCCTGAACTCATCCAGTGCTCAAACTGGTATCTTGAGGGTGCAGTGCCAGCACTGGTGGCACTGGCTGCAAGAGCTCCCAGGACCATCTCTCTCCTGTGCAGGTGAGCTGGGAAGCACCAAGTGTGCCAGCAGGACACAGGCAGGCACGGTCTGTGTCCCCCAAGCATCCCAGCCCCTCTTTTCCTCTCCCATTTGCCACAGGGGCCCTGCAAGGCATCAGCACCGGGTGCTGCTCCGGAGCCCCTGTCCTGCCTGGCACTGCTGCAGTGGCCATGACTCGGAGCAGAGGCACCAGCCTTGACTCCGTGTCCAAGCAGGGCCCAAACCCAAACATGTGCCCAGCCCTGGGACACTTTATCAGGCCTTGGCAGCGCCGAGCGCCCACTGCAGAGACTGTTGTGTCTGCAGCGTGTGCAGGGGACAGGGATGCTCTCGCTGTGCTCCTCCAGGTCCCTGGTCCAGCACCATCCTGCCAAAGATGGGGGGGGGCTGAGCTGGGGCACCCACAGCCATGCTGTTCCCCTCCCCGATCACAGCCCTGCAGCCAGGGAGGGGGCCTGGTGGATGGTGGTTGATGCCCAGTGCACAGAGCTCAGTGCACGGTGCTTGATGCAGCCCAGCTCCCCCTTCCCCTGGCCCCAGGGCTCTTGGGGCTCCCAGCACACCTTTCCCTAGCTCAGTGCTTCTTTGGGGTCCCCAAGGGTGCTGGGGCCTGGCCTGGCTGCTGCCTCCCTGCCACTTGCCCCAGCAGAGTCTGGAGCCTGGGGTAAGGCTGCAGGTTAGTGCAAGGCCGTGGCAGAAGGGGGTCTGGGAGTCGGAGAGTGCTGGAGACCCCGAAGTGAGGTGGCCCTGATGGAGCCACCGACACGCAGGGCTCTTTGCACCCACTGTGGACACGATGACTGCACACACCACAGGGCGCAGGTATCCCGTATGCTGCAGGACATCCACAACTTCCCTGTCCCCAGGGCTCAGCCCCACTGATCCCCAGATCCCCTGAGTCCCGAGTCCCCTCCAGGCACCAGCAGCAGCAGCCCCCGCAGAGCACCGCGGTCAATGCCCCTTGCTCAGTGCCCCTTGCTCTCCTCGCTGGTTTTAATCCCCATTCCCAGGCAGCATCTCCTCCCCAGCCCGCCCTCGCCTCGGTTCCATCAGCTCCTCCCGGCCCTGGCTCCCTTCCCCTTGGCTCCCGGCTGCCCCCCCCCTCGGACAGTGACCCGGCCATGTGGGTGCTGAGCCCCCGCCGGATGCGGCCCGGAGGTGCGGGTGCCGGGGCGGGCAAGGGGCGGGTCGGGGCGCGGGGGGGCCGCAGTGATAACCGCGGGTGCCGGGAGCAGACAGCACAGGCGAGCGGGATGAGCCCAGGACCCCCAGCCCGAGGCAGCAGCATGGGGTCCGGCAGCCCCCAGCACCTCCTCCCTGTGCTCTGCATCCTCTGGCTCCTGCCCTCTGCCACTGCCCAGTGGTTTTATGCCCTGGGCTTGGACGACACCACCCCGGCCCCGGGCACCAGCCCTACAGCGCCCATCCTGGATGGGGAGGAAGGTAGGTATGGAGGGACAGGGCACGGCTTCCCTGGCTCCCGCACCCCAGCAAAGAGGGGAACCTCTGCATAAGGCTGGAGGGTGAGGTGTGGGGTGCTGGGGTCTGGGACCGCTTCCCACCCCATCACCCCTTTGCTCCTGCAGACGGAGATGCTGTGGAGCCCACTCGGAAGATGCTGCTGAGCAAACCCCCGCTGGCAACAGCCCCCAGACGTCGGGACCCCCTCGGCAGGGGCGCGGGGAAGGGTCTGGGCCATGCCCCCCCCCGCACACGAGGCCAGGTGCCTTACCCCGGGCAGGGTGTCCCCCGCTCCAGCTCCTTCATCTCTCCCGATCCCCCCCAGCCGCTGCAGAGCTCCTTGCCCTGTCCTTCCCCTTATCTGTGCCCTGCTGCACACACAGCCCCGGTAGGGCAACGTGCCCTGCTCCGGCCGCGGCTCAGCCTCCTCTATCCCATGGGAAGGAGCTGTGGCAGCTCCCACTGCCCCACACATGGCACAGCCCCACAGCAGCGATGTGCTGAGCCCCCACCCGCTCTCCAAGCAGCCACGGCCGTGGAGGGGTCCTTCATGCCCCCAAGCCCCACACTGAGCACTCCCTGTCCATCCATCCCCACAGCAGCGACCCACAGTCGCCCCGGAGATCTTCGAGGGGAGCGCGGAGGAAGAGGAGTTCCTGCAGATCAAGGTGGTGGAGGGCCCTGATCCCATGGGGGGCTGCGAGGGACACCCCGGGATGTGCGCCCGGGTGGGGGGCTCTGGGGGATGTGGGACGGCAGGGCAGGATGGGGATGGTGCTGCAGGGGATGGGGACGGGACGGTGCTCAGGGGATGGGGACGGTGCTGTAGGGGATGGGGACGGTGCTCAGGGGATGGGGACGGTGCTGTAGGGGATGGGGACGGTGCTCAGGGGATGGGGACGGTGCTGTAGGGGATGGGGACGGTGCTGCAGGGGATGGGGACGGTGCTGTAGGGGATGGGGATGGTGCTGCAGGGGATGGGGACGGTGCTCAGGGGATGGGGACGGTGCCGCAGGGGATGGGGACGGTACTCGGCGGTCTCAGCCCCTTGTCTCCTCCACGCAGACAACAGCAAAGGGGCTGCCCCCGCCGGTGCCCCAAGCCCCAGAGGTGGATCCTGCAGTGCAGGTGAGCGGGGCGCGGGGCACCCAACCCCGCACCCTGCGGCCGGGCTCCCAGCCCGCACCTCACCGCGCTCTCCCTCTCCAGGTGCGCAACGGCTCCGGCTGCGTCTGCCCCGTGCGCCCCGGCCCTCCCGGCCCCCCCGGCCCCAAGGTGCGGTGATCGCGTGATCCTCCCCGGGACACACAGGGGCACAGGGATCCATAGGGACACACAGGGGCACAGGGACCCATAGGGACACACTGGGGCACAGGGATCCATAGGGACACACAGGGGCACAGGGATCCATAGGGACACACAGGGGCACAGGGACCCATAGGGACACAGCGGGAGGAACCCTGAGGCTCTTTTGCCCGTGCACTGTGTGTTCTGCTCGTATTTGGAGCCTTGCCTCGGGGTCTGGCTCTCAGGAGCAGCGCGGGTGGCCCCTGGCAGGGAGCATCAGGTCCCCGCGGTGGGCACTGATGGAGGAGAGCACCAGGAGCCGGGGCCAGGCTCTGTCCTTTCCAAACAGGGAGAGAAAGGAGACCGAGGACCCCCGGGGGAGAGAGGCCAGCCCGGGCTCTCTGGGGAGAGAGGGAAGTCCGGCAGCCCAGGGCAGCCGGGTCACCAGGGGCCCCGGGGTCCCCCAGGTCCTCCGGGACCCCCGGGACCCCCAGGCGCTTGGGGAGCCAGGAGCCAGCCTGCCTCCCTTCCCAAGGGATCGGAGAACGAGGTGAGCACTCGGGCACGTTGATGCCAGGCTGGGGGGCTGACAGTGGTGTCAATGCTCAGCAGGGATGGGGCTCATGGCTGTGGGCAGCCCAGGAGATGGGAGCAGTAGATGGAATAGGGGATGGGAATAGGGGATGGGATAGGGGATGGGAATAGGGGATGGGGTGCTGCCATACACTAACTCCGCTCTCTCTTTCTCCCTCCAACCCAACAAGCAGCTGGGAGCATCCAGCCCAGTGGGAAACCTGGGACCCCCAGGTCCCCCCGGCCTGCCCGGACCCCCAGGCTACCCAGGCCATGAAGGCCCCCCAGGGGTCCCTGGGCGGGATGGGCAGCCAGGACCCCCCGGCCCACCGGGGGCTGTGGGACCCCCTGGGTTCCCTGGGGCTGAAGGACCTCCAGGATCTCCAGGCTTGGCTGGGACAGACGGACCCCCAGGGGCACCGGGGCTCCCAGGGCCCCAAGGTCCCCCTGGGGTGCCTGGGCACGAAGGCCCCCCCGGTCCCATTGGACCTACATCACTCCCTGGCAAACCAGGGCTCCGAGGGGAGCCGGGATTCCCTGGACTAAAGGTAAGGGGGTCCCAGCCCAGCCCGTCCATGGCCCTGCAGGAGCTCAGAGCCAGCGCAATGGGGATGGACCCTGAGCCCCTTGCTCTGCCCCAGCCCTGCTGTGATGGGTCCAGGGTGCTAAGCCCCCACACTCACCACCCCATGTATGCTGGCAGGGCGAGAAGGGTGAATATGGACTGCCGGGCATGCCAGGGAACCCTGGCCGCACTGGAGAGACCGGTGCCCCGGGCATGCCTGGGCCCATGGGGCCACCAGGGCCACCGGGGGACTACAGGGTGAGTAGGGGGTAGGTCCCAGGGCTGCAGGTGCTCAGGGACCTGCCCCATGCTCACCCCAGCACATCCTCTCCTTCAGTGCGACCTGCGCCACGCAGGGCACCATGGATCAGCAGGGCCACCGGGCCCCAAGGTGAGCCAGGGCACTGTAAGTGATGGTGTTGGCACCCGGGGCATGGGGACAGCATCGGCCACGCTGGTCCCCGGTGCTGGTGTCAAAACCAAGCAGCTCCATGGTGGGTGTTACCGGTGGAGTGAGGCGCAGTGCTGAGCAGGGGGGCTGTGACTGTACCCCATAGCTGGGCACCAATGGGACCTCTCTGCTTTCCTTCCAGGGAGAAAAGGGCGACCCCGGAGAGCGGGTTAGTAGCCACGAGCACTGGTGCAGGGGGTGGGCCCCATCCCCACAACCTGAATGTGAAGCCCTGCACCACGAGTGATGCCTCCGTGGGCAGCACCAACCTTCACTCACCCAGTGGCATCACTGGGGTCCCCAGACGGGCTGGGGCACGGGGAGGGGGGACTGGAGAGTCATGCTATCCCCGTGGAACATGCAATGCACATGTGTGCACGCCCATGCAAGCATGCAGTGCCCCCATGCACACACGCAGCATCCCCATCACAGAATATGACTGTGCCTTTTCTGTGTCTCACCCAGGGGTGCTGCTATGGGGAACATGGGTGCAAACCAGGCCACCCCCACTTCCCCAGCACCAGCAGCCAGGCTGGCTCCTGGGTACCCATCAATGGGTACCAGACGGTGAGTCCTCAGGCAGGGATCATGGGGATCACGGCAAGGGGTGCCCAGGAGGCTCTGGGTGCCCCAGGGCTCACAGCCCCAGCTGGTTCGGAGGGATGGAGGATGGAGAGCAGGAGGATGGAGATCATCTCAATCTCCTCTCTTTCTCTGCAGGGCAGCAAAGAGGAGGCAGAGATTTACGGAGCCATCATTCCCCATGTGAGAGACACTGCCTGGCTCGAGTCTGTGTGCTGCCCCAACCCAGGGGGGGTCAGCCCTGGGAGGGGAAGGGAGTGGGATGGATGAGGGACAGCAATGGGGTGTCTTATAGCTGCCCCCCCAAAAAGGCAGCACCACAATAGCCCAGCCCAACCTCCACACTGATCTGCTGCAGGGTCTTCGAGGTCCCCCTGGGAACCCCGGCCCCCCCGGGCCCCCTGGTCCCCCCGGAGCACCAGGACTCCTCTACCTCAATGTAAGGTGCAGCACTGGCTGTGCCAGAGCCCATGCATGTGTGAGCATGCACAGCACGAGGGGCTCCCCACAAACCCACCTCTCTTTGCTTCCAGAGGGTTTACCCCATCCGTGCCCAGCAGCCCTGCAAGCAGCCGGTAAGCCACAGACTTACTGTCCCCAGGAGGGACCCTGTCCCCTCCCCATGCACCGGGAAGGGTGCACTGGTGCCCAACAGCAGTGACGGGCCCCGTTTGCCTCCGCAGGCAGCCTCGGATGCAGGCTGGACAGAAGGTGAGCCCATTTCTCAGGTGTTCCCAGTGCTCCATCCTCCTTGGAACCACCTTCTATCAAGTCTTGCCTCCCTTAATGGGGTCCCCAGTGCCACAGCTGGCTCTCCCACCCGGCTCCCAGTACCAGCATCCCTGCAGAGAGCATCCAGCACTGGGATGCCTTATAACCCCCAACCCTCTCCAGGTGCTGACATCCCTCGGACGGAGCCTCTGGACTCCCGTGTTGATCTCCAGGTTGGTCCTGGCCACGGCCATAGTCGAGCACCCCCAGGCTGTCTGCTTGCCCCATGCACAGCAGCTGGGCCATGACCCTGAGCCATGACCCTCTCCATCCCCCAGCGCCAGATGTGGGTCTTCAGGACCAAGGAGCTGATGCTGAAGTCGGGGAGCTCCGTGCCTGAGGGGAGCTTGGTTTATGTGCGGGAAGGGAGCAGCGCCTTCCTCCGGACCCCCACCGGCTGGAGCCGCCTCCTGGTACCCAGCACATCCCTTCGGGTCCCTCATAGGGTTGGGAAGGGGCAGGATCCAGCCCTGGCAGCTGGATTTGTCACTGGGGCAGCAGAGCCCTGGGAAGGAGCTGGTTCATAGAATCATAGAATGGTTTAGGGTTGGACCTAACCCATCCCTAACCCATCGCTCTGCTCTTTGCTTGGAGCAGCTGGAGGATTCGAAGTCGCTCTTTGCTGGTGATGACCCCTCTGCTTCCACCCCACGGTACCAGGTGAGGGGTGCTGGTACCCATCGAGGGGACAGAGCCCCCCCTTTGTTGGCCAAGGGGGATAGAGGCTCCTGTGGGACTGTCCTCTCCTTTCCATTCAGGAGGCAAAGCGGGTGCAGACAAAAGGTCCTGACACGGCACCGCCTGCACTGACCCCAATGGACTCACTGGTGAGCCCTGCAGCAGGTCCTTGTGCAATGGGGTTGGGGTATCTGCAGGGCAGCGCACACGCAGGGCCTGGGGTCTTGTTGGGCTGCACCATGGCAGAGGGATGGATGTCACTGGGCTGACCTGAGCTGCGTTATTGCAGGTCCAGAAAGAAGGGGCACAAGAGATGCCCCAGACCCTGCCCACCACCATCGCCCCACGGATCCCATCAGTAAGTGATGCCCAGCTCTGATAGAGGTGCTGGGGGGACCTTTCCGTGCCCAGGCAGCCTCACACATGGGAAGGGAGAGCAGAGCCCTCACACCCCAGCCATGCCCAAGCCTCCCTGCTTCCCCCGCAGCTCCGCCTTGCCGCACTGAACGCGCCCCTCACCGGGGACATGAGCGGGCTCCGCGGTGCCGACCTGCAGTGCTACCGGCAGTCCCAGGAGGCTCAGCTCTACGGCACTTTCCGGGCGTTCCTGTCAGCCCCTACCCAGGACTTGGTCTCCATCGTCAAGAGGACGGACAGGAACCTCCCTATCGTCAACCTGAAGGCAGGTACCCCTGTCCCCTGTGGGGCTGCTGCACCCTGGCCGTGCTCAGCACCTGTGTTATGGGGAGCTCGGAGGAGCTGAGGGCATCGCCTTAGCCCCTGGCCCCCAGCTCAGTGCCACTGCTTGTGCCCACAGGGGCAGCTCCTGGCCAAGTCCTGGAGCTCCCTCTTTGAGGGTCAGACCAGCACCGCCCTGCGGGGTCCCATCTACTCCTTCAATGGGGGCAATGTCCTGACGGATCCTCTCTGGTGAGTCCGGTGGGCACCAGCCGGGTAACCCTCAATGAATGCACCCACACTTGGGGGGGGTCTGCACGCATCCTCCTGCTCGCACGGATGCAAAGAGCTGGAGGGGGTGCCCCAGCCCTTCTCACCCCCATCCCTGTCTGCAGGCCCCGGCCGCTGGCCTGGCACGGATCCACACCACGGGGCAGCCAAGCCCGCAAGCGGGATTGCCAGGGCTGGCGCAGCTCCGGCACCGGGCAGGGCCTGGCCGCTGCACTGGGTGAGGGCAGGCTCCTGGCTGGGCAGCGGCACAACTGCTCCGAGGCGCTGGTGGTGCTCTGCGTGGAGGTGGCCTTTCCCTACCGGCACATGTGGTGATGCCAGCGCCGTGGCACCGGTGATCTCCGGCTGCACGCCCCATGCGGCTTCCCCTGTCCTGTGGGTGAGGATATGGGGTGGTGCAGGGGGAAGTGCAGCACAGGAGCAGGTGAGAGCATCAAGAGGATGCCAAGCGTGCAGCCGGGTTCATCGCAGGCTGTGCTAATCCCATGCATCCCTGGTCTGTGCCCAGCTGCATCCCTGCAGCTCCAGCAAAGGGAATGCTGTCACTGCCATGGAAATAAAGATGCAAAACGCTGGGGTTTGGATGGTACCCAGCGTGCTGTTACTGGGGTAGGGGAGCTTACCCAGGACACTGCCTGCTGCAGCAAGGGGCAATGGGGGTCACGCTGCAGCCAGCCTGGGGAAGGGGGAGAGGGTCTGGGGCCACCCGTGGGCTATGGGACCAGCACAAATGGGGAGACAGGGACACCATAGGGACACTGAAACCGTGGAACGGGGCTCCAATGATACCAGTACACACATGGGGCACAGCACTGGTGCCTGTCCCCGAGGCAGCGCTGTGCTTCCGGAGCGTGCCCAGTGGGTCCCAGTACGGCACCAGTGCCTGCCCAGCGCGCCAACAGCAACCAGGCAGGCAGAGCCTCCAGCACCAGCGCCCTCCTATTGGCAGGCTCCTCTGCCCGTCCCGCCACTCTCCCTTCTGAGTGGCTGGTTTGAACGCGCTGCGCGTTTCTGACTGGCCAGAGGGGAAAGCTGGGGCACCACCCATGTCACCGCCTTCCCGCTGCGATTGGCGGCGCGCAGGGGAGCCGTGGGCGGTGATTGGCGGAGGGTTTCGGCGGGCTAAACGAAGGTTTGAAAGCCCAAGGACGGTTGGGGCCGCCATCGCCGCCGCTCAGCCGCGCGCTGCCGCCATCATGGAGCTCCAGGAGCACCCGGCGCCTCTCAGGGTGCGTGCGTCTCCCCCGACCCCTTCCTGCCCCGGGGAGCCCCTTCCCCGCACGGCTCCGGCTTCCTCCCCGCTTCCCTCCGCTCCCCCGGGCCCCTCAGATCCCCCGGGGTCCTTCCCCTCTCCCTTGGCTCCGTGTCGCGGTCCCCCCCGCCTGGGCCCACTCCTCCCCGCCTCCGATCTGATCCCCCCCGGATCCCGCTGCCCCTCACTGCCGCTCTCTGTCCCCCGAGCAGCCCGCGGACGGGAACCTCCGGCTGCAGAAGGGCGATGGCGTCAAGAAGACGCTTTCGGTGGAGCACATCTACCAGAAGAAGACGCAGCTGGAGCACATCCTGCTCCGGCCCGACACCTACATCGGCTCCGTGGAGATGGTCACCCAGGTGCGGGGTTGGGGCTGAGCCGCCCGAGCTCCTCGGTGCAGGCGGGGAGTCATTAATATCTGCTTATACAGCACAAAGCATTGGTTTATACAGCACAAAACGCCTGCTTTGCAAGCCCAGGGCACACAAGTGGAGGTGTTTGTAAGGATTCATGTGGTTTTTGCCTTTTTTTTTTCAGCAAATGTGGGTTTTTGATGAGGACGTGGGCCTCAACTGCAGAGACGTGACCTTTGTGCCTGGCTTGTACAAGATCTTTGATGAGATTCTAGGTAAGGAGACCTGTCTGTTGAGTCAGTGGTTGATGGTTGATTAACGGGTGCTGAATGTCTAATAAACAGCTAAGAAATGCAAGTCTACTTTTATCAGGTTGCCTTGTTGAGCAGCGAATGTCTGTAGCACAGTTTGGTGGGTGGCGGTTGCAGGGTGTGTGGTTTGTGCTTGGGGATACTGGATACTGAAGTCCTTCCATCAGTTATTAGTAAGCTGTTTTGTGGGATGATGGCTCGCTTACAAACCTGATGTAATTCATCCTAGACTTCTCATTTTTATGTTAACGTGTAGTACTCATCTTCAACTTGCAACATACTTGCATGCCAAGATGGTTGTTAGTAACATTGTACTGAGTTTTTGCATTCATTCTGCTGAAGACACTTTACCAGTTAATAGCTTTGTCTTGCTTGACAATGCAATATAATAACAGTAATCTTTCCATTCTAGTCAATGCTGCAGACAACAAGCAGAGGGATAAAAACATGACATGCATTAAAGTTACAATTGACGTGTAAGTTTTGCTTTGTTTCTGTTCATTGCTTTCCCAACATGAGTACCTTGTATTTTCTCACGTGGGCGCTGTTTAAACTGGTGTGATGGTGGTGGTGGTCTCTGCCGTGAGGTCAATCCAAATGAGACTAGTAATTTAACTCTGGTGAAAGGCTATTTTCTTTGCCTTGGTCTCTTAGAGTGCTGGCTTGTGAAATGACTGCTTTGTGGTTGTTTTCTGTTGTGGCCATTCTCTTCCTCTCAACCTTTGTATTCTGTCACCAAGCACAAATGGAGGATTTCCGCGTGTGGTGGTCCATTTAGAGAGTTGAGCTGAGTTTTTTGGTTGACTTGTTCTCCCTCTGCTGGCAGTTTCTGCACTTGCTCAGAAGCGATTTGCTTTTGATGAAATGGTGGCCTTTCCCCAGAGCTTTTGTGTGACACTTGTTTCATAGCTCAGTCATTCGCAGCCTTAAAAACACCCTTTTTCCTCTACCTAGAGAGAATAACACAATCAGCGTATGGAACAATGGGAAAGGTATTCCAGTTGTTGAACACAAAGTGGAGAAGGTCTATGTGCCTGCTCTTATCTTTGGACAGCTGCTAACATCCAGCAACTATGACGACAATGAAAAGAAAGTCACAGGTAGGGAAGACTCTCGAATATGGGTTAGTAGATGAGCAGCCTGATGGATAAAAGTGTGTGAACCAAAATAACATTGGGAAGGGGGCCCCTGATGCAACTGAAAATGATGTTTGGAGTCCACCAGAGAGATACCTTCATGTTCTATATTAATAACAGTGCAAATATGGAAAATTCTCTTTGAATGCTAGTTGTAATTAAAGATGGGTTTACAGTCACATACCGAGTTCGTAGGATATTGTTGCTTATTGCCAATTGTTCTTTGCGCTGAAGTGGCTGAACTCCTGTTAGTCTGGAATTCTTTGAGATGGTTTTGATCAAAGGTAATAACATGAGTCTCTTTTCCCTTTAATTCCAGGGGGGCGAAATGGTTATGGAGCCAAACTGTGCAACATATTTAGCACAAAATTTACTGTGGAAACTGCCTGTCGCGAATACAAAAAGCTGTTCAGACAGGTATGAACCCTTCTCATTTCAGTAAGATTATACCCAAGATTTTCCATTAAGACCCTAATTTTTTGTTTCGAAAATCCAGGTGTAACTTGCATTCAGAGCACTGTGATTAGAATAAGTGTAGCCCACAGTTACTGTACCACAAAATAAAACTCAAATGAATAATGAAATGAGCAGACATAACCAGAATCTAGTTTTTAACCAGTGGTGGGGTTTTTTTTCAGTTGAAAGTATCTAAAACTTGCAAATTGGCTTTCTGTTTTCAAAAACTAAGCTTTAGTGGCTTATGTGTGTTAGACTTGCTTACAAAACCTCCTTTTCTCAGACTTGGACCGACAACATGGGGAAGGCTGGTGAAATGAAGCTGAAGCATTTTGATGGAGAGGATTACACGTGTGTCACGTTCCAACCTGATCTGTCAAAATTCAAAATGACAATCCTTGATAAAGACATTGTAGCACTGATGTCTCGAAGAGCATATGATATTGCTGGATCCACAAAGGATGTCAAAGTTTTCCTAAATGGACAGAGGCTGCCTGTAAGTGAGCATTTAACAGAAATGGTAACATCTGCATTTCTCATGCCATTTAAACAGTGAGGTTTTGTTGAAGCAATTTATGTCATTGCACGTAGTAAGTGGAAAATGTGCCTGAGTGGTTTATCTCCCCACTTTTCAGCAGGATATGAATTAAGTATTTATAGGAGCTGTTATAAAGGAGTTGTCTGCTTATATCTGTATGCAGGTGAAAGGATTCCGCAGTTATGTGGACCTCTATCTGAAGGACAAAGTAGATGAAACCGGTAACACACTTAAGGTTGTCCATGAGGAAGTAAATTCTCGGTGGGAAGTGTGTTTGACCTTAAGTGAAAAAGGCTTCCAGCAAGTTAGCTTTGTCAACAGCATTGCCACTACAAAGGTAACTCTTTGGTTTATTCAGTCAAGCTAATGCCATGTTCTTTGTCAGTAGCTGTTTCAAATGTATGTATGTTAGTGAAGAAGACTTAGCTGCTTCATGTTGCAAAGGCTATGCATAAAGTTTGAAATAGATTTCTTTTTCTAAATGGAATTACCATCAAGCCTCTGGTCCCATTTTCCCTTAGGGTGGCAGGCACGTTGATTACATAGCTGACCAGCTTGTGACTAAAGTCATTGAAGTTGTGAAAAAGAAGAACAAGAACGGAGTCGGAGTGAAGCCTTTTCAGGTACAGTGTCCCCGGTGGGAAGCACAACTCTAGCATTATTGCACATTGTAACTACAGCTTAATGCATTACCACATTAATTAATACATATTTCCACTGTACAGACAATATATATATATACATCTGC